GACTCCCATTGGAATGAGCCCTTATCGTCTTGTGTTTGGGAAAGCTTGTCACCTGCCAATGGAGCTTGAACACAATGCTTTTTGGGCCATCAAGAAGTTAAATTTTGATCTAGACAAGGCAGGCCATGCAAGAAAGTTTCAGCTGAATGAATTGGAAGAAATTAGACATGAGTCTTATGAGAATGCAAAGCTTTACAAAGAATGAACCAAGAGTTACCATGACAGAAACATTCAACGGAAAGAGTTCTCCAATGGTATGTCAGTTCTTTTGTTTAACTCACGTTTGCGTCTCTTTCTAGGAAAATTGAAGTCTAGATGGCATGGCCCATTCACCGTGGTCAATGTTTCTCCCTATGGAGCTGTGGAGATTCAAAACCCTAAAGATGGCTCGACTTTCAAAGTAAATGGACAACGTTTAAAGCCATTCTATGAGGGAATCTCAGCTGGCATTCAAACAGGCCATGTGGTGGAGGTAGATCAACTTCCCTTCGTACCATCAACTTAGCTGATTGCACAATGTCTTGCCAAGACAGTAACTAAGGCGCTTCTTGGGAGGCAACCCATGTATTCAAGAAGAAGGTGCTTGGTAGCAATCGACCTAATCGCATCAAGGGGGAGCATTTCAATCCTTTCTCTTTACTTATTTTGTTTTTATTCTAGTCATTTTAAGTTTCTGTTTCTTTTTATAAATAAATAAATAAATAAAATTTTAAATTTTAAAAAAAAAAAGATTTTTTTTCATATAAGCTAACTTTTGGTAACCCCAGTGAGCACCTCCGTCAATACAGTGTCTAGGTGGAAGCCATAGCCACCAAAACCAATGATCATAAGGTGGTGCTAAAGTTCTTGAAGGATAATATTTTCACAAGGTTTGGTATTCCAAGGGCTGTCATTAGTGATGGAGGCAGCCACTTCTGTAACAAGCCATTCGAAGCACTCATGAAGAAGTACAACATCACCCATCGAGTCTCTACACCATATCATCCGCAAACTTCTGGTCAAGTGGAAATAAGCAATAGAGAAATTAAGCACATCCTGGAGAAGGTGGTGAACAATACAAGGAAAGATTGGGCAGCCAAGCTCAATGATGCATTATGGGATTATAGGACTGCATATAAGACTCCCATTGGAATGAGCCCTTATCGTCTTGTATTTGGGAAAGCTTGTCACCTGCCAATGGAGCTTGAACACAATGCTTTTTGGGCCATCAAGAAATT